TCTTTGGAGAAATTCCTGCTTAAATGCTTTGCTCATTTTTGAGTTGTCTTTTCACTATCTAGTCAGTAGAGTTCTTTACATATTCTTGCTTTAAGCCCCTATTTTCTCCCTTTCTGTAGATTATCTTTTCATTATCTTGGTGGTGTCCTTTGAAGCACAAAAGTTTTAAATTTTGATGAAGTGCACTTCATCTAATTTTTCTTTTTTAGTTCATACTTTGGATGTCATATCTATTGCCTAATCCAAGGTCATGGAGATTTGGTTCTACTTTTTCTTTTTCTAGAATTTTATATTTTTAGCTCTTGCATTTAAATATATGATTTACTTTCAGTTAATTTTTGTGTATGATATAAGGAACTTTACTTTTTTGTATGTGAATATCCAGTTGTTCCAGCACCATTTATTTTAAAGACTTTTTTCCTGTTCTTAAAACTGGAAATATTTTTGCTTGTTTCCAGGCTACTACCATGTTTCCTGGATGAACTCAACATCTGAGTCATTCACAGGTTATTTTAGTATTCTCTGGGATGTTAATGGCTTAAGATCAAAAGATTTAATGTGCTTTAGAAAAACTAGGTATACTTATAATCTCACCTTTTATCATGGTTCCTATTCCTATTTTTCCATATTCTATCATTTTTCACTCTGAACCACTTTCTTCACTGAAATGTTAAGGACAAAACAGAAATGAATGGATTCTGTCTCTCTCTCTTCTGTTAACTTACACCACTGACTCCAGATAAATTTACTTCCTTCTTTTTATTCTCCTTAGCTAGCAAAGCTCTCTTTCTTTTTCAAAAATCTATTTGAGAGAGGGAATGAGAGTGAGTGAGCATGGGGAGGGAGAGAGGTTGGGGGAAGGGGAGATAAGGGGTAAGGTAGGGGGAGAAGGGAAGCAGACTCCCTGCTGAGGAGGGAGCCTGATGTTGGGCTCCATCCCAGGACCCTGGGCTCATGACCTGGGCTGAAGACAGACACTTAACCAGATGCATCACCCAGATGCCCTGCCTTGCTAAGCTTTTTTATCATTCTTAGGATTTTGCCCAACTTTAAGCTAATTGTAGACTTTATATTTTCTGTAAATTGGTGACTTATCTTATTAAAAATGAACATTGTTATTAGTATTTTTTGGTTTAGTCAGCTGCTACCATTTTCCATGGCACTAACATATTTATACAGACCGTAATTCCAATTAAAAGTTTTCGATGTGAACAAAATTGGTATAATATATCTTTTAGCTTTTTATGTTGAAAAATTTTAAGTTAGAAATTACAATATAATGAGCACACCCATTTTAAACATTTTGCCACATTTACCCTCTCTCCCTCTTTAATATACATACACATATGTATGTATATTTGTTTTACATATATATTATGTATCAACATACATATTTTTTCTGGGTCACTTGGAGATAAGTTGTAGACACCATAACTCCTCAGCCATAAAATATTTGGCATAAAATTTCCAAGATTAAGTATAATGCCACAAAATATCTTTCTCTCTTTTTTTAAGATCCAAAATTCTACTTTGTTGTTACATCTCTTGAGTCTTATTAATATGGAGATTTAAAAAAATTATTATTATATTGGCTCAATGAATAGGTCAGGCCAGGTTTCTTATAGAATATACCACATTCTAGATTTATCTGCTTGTTTCTTCCTGTTTGACTTGCTTCAATATCCTCTATATATCCTTTAAGTTTTTGCTTATATCTAGACCAGGGCTGCTCAGCTTTGGCACTATTTACATTTTGGGCCAGATAATTCTTCGTTGTGGGAAAACTGTGTTGTCCATTGTGCAATGTTTAGCAGTACCCATTAGATGCAGTAACACTCCCCACCCCCCAGGTTATGACAACTGAAAATGTCTCCGGGCATTGTCAAATGTACCCACTTGGGTAAGGGATAAGGAGTGGGGTGCCAGTCTAGAAGCTTGATTAAATTCAGGTTAAACAATTTTGGCAAGAATATTTCTTTTTTTTTTTTTTTAAAGATTTTATTTATTTATTTGACAGACAGAGATCACAAGTAGGCAGAGAGGCAGGCAGAGAGAGAGAGGAAGAGAAGCAGGCTTCCCACTGAGCAGAGAGCCCATGTGATGTGGGGCTCTATCCCAGGACCTTGGGATCATGACCTGAGCCGAAGGCAGAGGCTTTAACCCACTGAGCCACCCAGACTCCCCGGCAAGAATATTTCTTAGAAGATGTTGTGTATTTTGCATCATGTGCTTCATCAGTAAGCACATAGTATCAGATTGTCCCATTAGTGATTCTAGCTCTAGTCATTTGGTTAAGGCAGTGATTTTCTTTTTTACTGGAAAGGTACATTTTTTCTTTTGTAATAATTAAGTTATAGCTTGATACCTTAAGACTGTGTGAAGATCCTGTACTCCTATGATCTTTCACCAATGGCTTTTAGCATCTTTTGATGAACTTTGCCTCAATCAACTGTGAATGAATCAGAAAATGTGAATGAATCAGAAACTATGAATGAATCAGAAAATTAGAAAATGGAATTTTCTAATTCCATCATTGTTCTACATTTATTCTCTGGGATACTTCTGAAAGAAAAGCTTTCATCCTTTCACCTTTTATTGTTTTTTATTATTTTATTTTTAATAATCTCTATATCCAATGTGGGGCTTGAATTTTCAACCCCAAGCTCAAGAGTCACATGACTTACCAATTGAGCCAGCCAAGGCACCACTTGTTTTTAGTGCCATTCTGAAAGCACGTATTTTACCTATTTTTTAAAATTCAATAAAGTATCATCATTGTTTTTTTTTAAGATTTTTATTTATTTATTTGTTAGAGAGAGAGAGAGAGAGAGCGAGCGAGCGAGCATGAGCACAGGCAGACAGAGTGGCAGGCAGAGGCAGAGGGAGAAGCAGGCTCCCCGCCGAGCAAGGAGCCCGATGTGGGACTCGATCCCAGGACGCTGGGATCATGACCTGAGCCGAAGGCAGCCGCTTAACCAACTGAGCCACCCAGGCGTCCCTCATCATTGTTTTTGATGGTAATATTGTCCCAAGTTTTTCCAGTGGGAATCCTCAACCCATTCTTCAAAACACTTCTTAAAGTAAGGGGATAATGTTTCAGCATTTTATTAAAGTTACTGTAAGCGCTACGCAATGGTAATTTCTTACTACACTGCACTGTAAGAACAAACGTATAACGGATTCACATTTAGCCAGTGAAGAATTCTGATATTAGGACAGCATATCATTTTTATAGTTAATAACTTACACTAATTGCAAAATGTAAATAATTGGTCAGAGTAGATCCTATTTAACAGCCAATAAAAATTATTAGCAACTTGAGTCATCTATTTACCTTCAGAGGATAAATCTTTTACTGACTACTGAACAGGATAACTGGTGCTATTAAAGTGAAGTATACTTGTAGCATGTGTATGGCCGAAACACAGTATACTACTGCAAATTGCAAAGAATAGGAAGGAATTACTTTTGATTCTAAGCACTTGGAAATATCTTTTATTAAAATAAGTACCTAAGCAAGGTGCTTGAAAACATATTTCGATAGCATTAGATGCATCGCGATTTTAAAACTATGACTTGGGAAGCCCAAACGGAGTTTCCCAATTAAAAGGAGAAAAATTTGTATTGAGTTTTAAAGCTCCACCCATGGCAATTATTTCCTTCCTTCTGTAACTGTGAATTTCCTCCCCAATCCCAGGAACGGCTCTGTCCAGTTCCGCTGTCTCTGCTCCAGGTCTGTGTTTGGGATGATGGTTTCAGATGAGGCAGCGGCGGGTGATCCGGCTTAAGTTCTGGGTTTTTCCCCGTGACTTGACAGTTGCGGCCCGAGGCACACAGAAGCGTCTCTACCCCGAGCAGCCACAGAGAGGGTAAACCATGGAAGGCGGAGCAAACTTTTAGGGAGTGTCTCCCCGGCCCGAGGCCCCACCTTCCATCTGCTCCTCTCCGATTGGCTGTCGTGAGTCTCAGCCGACCTATCGTGCTGGAGCGTCTAACGCGCCGTTCGGCGACGCCGCCGCGCAGGCTCACTCGGGGACCCGCCCCTGCGCTTCTTCCCTCTTGAGAGCCGGAGGACACCAGCGAGGAGGCTGTGGAGCTAGCCAAGCCGGGTTATGCCAGTGCCAGCTGTGACGGGGCCGCGCTGGGACTTTGGACGGGTCCAGTGGCAGAGCGAGACCCGTCACAGAGCGACAGAGAAAACAAACACTGACACAACTGCCCGATTTACCCATGTCCCTTAAGTTCAGGTTTCCTTGGGTTGACCATTCATTGTGCTCCAACCTCCTACAAACTGATTTGCCTGTGGGGACTCGAAAAAAATGCGACTTTATTCTTTTCTTCGTGTCGGGGCAGATCGAAAAGCATAGTGAATGGAGCGAGACTTTATTTTAAGAAAGTAAACTTTTCTCCAATGCACAGTGGCTGGCAACACCTCTTTCGTTGAGTTTCACTGTCCCCAGGCTGGAAGCACTGCCCCTCCACCGACCCGCCGTCTCAACTCTGGCATACCCTGGCCTCTGGTGAAGTGACTGGCTGTCGGCGCTGGAAAGCGAACGTTACTTTCCGCTCTACAAAGAAAAAAGTCCGCATTAGTTTCCAACGTGTGCAACTCAGAAAAGTGAGCCAAAACAAAAAATAACCAGGCTTCGGTGGAAAGCAGTCTCGTAGTCCTTGCTCACAAACTGGCCTGCGATTTCCAGGCCCCAGCCGGTGTGAGAGGCCTCACAGCCCCAGGCAGGCTGCAACCTCCAAGCCCCACGCCAGGCCTGCCCCTGCGGCCGCTCGGAAAACGCGGAGAGCGGAACCCGCACGCGGAAGCGCCGGCCGCACTGAGCATGCCCAGTTGCAGAGCCGACCAGAGGAGTTTTTTTTTTTTTTTTCTTTTCTTTTCTTTCGGTTTTTTTTTCTTTTTTTCTTTCTTCTTCTTCTTCTTCTTTTTTTTTTTGGTCTCAAGTAGGAGGCCTACCCCCCCACCCCCACCCCAGCCCCCCACCACCCCCGGCCTAAGCAGCTACCATGTCTGAGGTTCCCGGCGCGGCGTTGTCCCAGGCGGGTTGGTAAGTGGCGAGTCCCGCTGGCTCCTCGGCCACGGACGCGGGCCGGAGCCCCGAGGAGTGTTGGGGTTGGGGGCGGTGGGGTGCGTGTCGGGGTAGGCGGAGGCCGCCGCCCGCCCCCGTCCTCTCCCCGGGCCCTCCGGGCCGGCTCCGCCCCCGGCGCCACGCGGAGCGGAGCGAGTCCCCCAGCTTCCCTCGGGGCGGCGGCGGCGGCGCGGCCTGGGCCCCGGGCGGCGGGCGGCGGGCCGGGGAGAGGCCGGGGGCTGCGGGCCGAGCAGGCAGGGTGGCCGGCGGCCCAGGCCCGAGCGCATTCGCCCGGGAGGACCTGCCACGCCGTCCGCGCCGCTCTGGGGAGTGTTGCTGCGGCGGGACGAGGGGAGGCGAGGGCTGGAGGGACCCAGTGCAAAGAAGAGGGGCGAGCGCGGCCGGAGCCCGCGGGCCCTCAGGAAGTTGAGGGCCCACCAGGGCAAAGCCCGTGCTGCAACCGGGACGCCTCTTCTTTCTCCTAATTTCAGAGTAGTGTGTACCGACCGGTGTGAAGCTGCCCTGCGTGGCACACACACAACTTCTGAAGCTAAGAATGACCTCATTGTCAACTCGTGTGGGTGCTCCGTGGAACTTTTCTTGAAAGCGATGGCAATGTTCTGATTTTTAAAGACGTTTCATGTTAGGATTTTAGAATCTGAAAGCAGTTTTAAAAATGCGAAATTAAGCAGTTTCTGGAACTGAGGCCATTACAGTTGTTAACATCCAGTTTAATTTAATAACGCTTTTGCAGGCCTACCTAGGCACAGTCTGAGAGGAGTGGTGGGAAGGAGGATGAAAAAGATTTGCCCCAGCTCTCTGGAAGTTCATTATCTTGGTGAAAAGAGGAGAGAGGGGGGCATTACAGGAACAAACATAAAAACGGGGAACAGTGGCAAACTGTGCAGAGAGGCATGCAAATGGGCTATGGAATTGGGAGGGGAAGGAGAGTTCATTTCCTAGAGAAGCAGGTTTTGAAAGATGGTGAGGGAAAAGTCTTTCTAGACAGCCACTGGAGAGGCGATACAGAAGTAGGAAAGTGCTTATTGGTTTGCAGAACTGACACTAGATCCTAGTGGTTCCTGTAAGTAGGAGGGTGTCCAGTGAGGATTAAGACCAGAAAGGTTGGGGCAGGTTATGGTGGCTACAAGTGCCTAAAAGATATGGATTTGATTTTGTGGATAAAGTTTTTGATTGGAGTGATATAATAATGCCTGTGTTTTGAAGAAGGGGCTCCTGGCTGTGCAGGCACTTCACTTTAGAAGTGAGGACTCAGGCACAGAACTGTTAAGTAACTTTTCTGACCTAGCTAGGAAGTGGTGGAGTTCAAAGGTGAGCACAGGGGAGGCTGGTTCCAAATCTGGTGCTTTTAACCATTATGCATTGTTGTTCCCATGGTTTTTGCATAGAACACCATTAGGGTAACAGATTTTGAAGGTAAAACTCACCATACTCAGTTCTGTTTTTATTCTGGAATCTCTACCTTCAGTTTCTTTACCTCACAAGAATGTTTTGGATAATAACCTTGGCTTACTCTTTTACTTGAGTTTCTCTCCATTTTTCATTAAATTGAGCCTTGGTTCTTCAACCTAGTTATATGATTTCATTTACAAACTTAACCTAGTAATATGATTTCATTTACAAACTTGTTGGGTTACTTCTTTCCAACATGACACCTCCAAAGTCTAGTCTCATTGGTTCCAAACACATACTAAATTGTTCTTTTCTGGACTACAAGCTCTTTAGGGGTGGGGAACTGCATCTTATTTTTCTGTATATTTGTACTGCCAGGGAGCCACTACAGTGTAGGTTCCCAGTAAAGTCTGATACAATTGACCTTGGAATGCCCCTGCTAATCAGATTCTATAGCCCCTGTCTCTACCCAAGTTTAGATAGTGCCTCCTTTTTTTGTTACATTGTTAAAGTCCCTAGCATGGTTATATTGTAACATTTGTCATTTTGTGTTGCAAATGATCTGTTTAACATGTTTCTTCTTCCACCAGACTTTGTTGCTTTTATATGGCAGTGACTCACAAAGGCAATAGTAATTTGTGGGTCTAATAAGACTTTTTCTAAGAGTTACCATGTAATTCCTAATAGGTCTTGAACAGATTAGATTTGTGCCAAAGAAGAGAAAGAGGATCTCCTAGGTGTTTAAGTAGCCTGTATAGATCTTATGTTTAAGTAGAGTCTTACTGTGTTAAAATGTAGAATCTCAAAAGTTTAGGCAGAGAAGAGAACTGGAAGGATTTAGGACCATAGAGTAGTTTTGACCAACTCATGCCAGTTCTGACATTCTGAGTTTCCTCTAACTCTTGGGATTCTGTTATTGTTACTGACAAAACCATTTTTTCTTAGTACTTAGTCTATACACTTAATTACTTATAGGACCTGAAAAGAAATAGATGTTAAAACACCTAAACTATTATTAAATCCTTTCTATCATCTTCACCTAAAATAATAGTTTAGGGTAATATTTTATCTTAAAGCTTAGGTTTCTGATACATAATTCCAGTTTATGGTTTTTGTTTTGTTTTGTTTTGTTTTTGAGTAAATTCCCCCCCCCCCCTCTTAAGTTTATTATCTTAAAGACCCCCACAAAACCAATACTTTAAAATACATCTCCAATAATAGCCACTCCAGCAGACATTACAGTAATTTTTTTTTTTTCTTTAGTGATGAGTAGCATAGAAAGCAACAGGTTATGCTAATTTGAACTTAAAAGTTTCAGGGACTTTCACAGTATGGTGGTTGTGTTTAAATAATGCACTAAATAGTACATTGATCTCTTGTAGTGTTTAGTTATATGTGTGGAATAAACTTCACAATGAGAGATTTGGCTCAGTTTGTCTCAATAACAGATTTACTTAATGCCTTTTGTTTTTTCTCTTTGGAGATTCCCCTTAAAGGGGAATTGCATGTTTCTGCTAACCTTTTGAATCTTTAGAATTTTTATAGAAATATCAACCTTTTGGAACCTTAAAAAACAGAAACATGTTAGAACATAATTGTGATTGTGTTTTTGAGAAAGGTATTTTCCATAGACTTAGTGATGGCACAGCTTAACACCCTTGTGTGCAGATGAGGATACTGAAGCACAGAGAGAATCAAAGATTTGCTCAGTTATAAGTAGCAGATCCAAGAATACTGCTCAAATGTATGGAATAAAGATTCAAAACTCATTTCCATCAAGCCATGGTGATCATTTCTAATTTAAATTGTTGATCAAAAATAACACATTTTGAAATAGAAAATTGGATTAAAGCATTTTGTGGTGTGTAAATTGACTTTCTCCTTTGGGAAATATAAGGTGCTTATGCTTAGGAGTGGTTGATTTTGAAAACAAAGAAAGCTTTATCTTGCAGTGGCTCACTTAAGTGCTGATCAGAGTTACCTGAAAATGGTTAATTCTGTATTTTGCAAAGTCTAAGATTATCTGAAAGGTAAGGCACTATATTATATGTGTTTGCCTTACCTAGCAGTTTGAGTTGAAGACACCATAAGGTAACATTAGAAATAGTGTTTCCATTTTATTCTGAAGGAACATAGTTCATTAGAAACTCCAGATTTCTAACATGGAAGGCTTAACCCAGATTTGCTCTGGGGTTTTTGTTTTTGTGTTTTTGGTGAAGAGGGAAAGGTTAGAGGGGAAATGGAAGGATGAACACACAAGTCTTCTTACCTTGTTCCCCTTGAACTTCACCTTCTCTTTTGAGTTCTATTTCTTTGACTACTGGTGCTACCACTATACTGACCATTCTCTGGCCCAAGTGTGTACCACCAAACTCCTTTCCCTTTCTTTCACCTTTGAACAACTAAGAAAGACTGCAGCTTAAAAAAAGTCTATAAAAATTTAGTACTAGAGAAGAACAACTGTAAGATAAATAAAATAGGAAGCACAATGACAGTGTGGAGTATAAAGTGAATGCTCTTTTGTCTTGAGGAGCCAGCCCTGTTCCACATGTTGCTTTGAGATAGCTATTCCAAAGCGTGCTTTAGGACAATTTGCTGGAATTTCTAATTTCTAACTTTTGACCTATCCACAGATGGAGAGCTTCTTTTCACATGCCATCATGTAGAAGCTTCCTCCCCAAAACATTAATGATCAAGACCAAGAAAGTCAGATTCCTGATTCAGTAGCCCACTCTGCACCTTTCTTTTATGGCTTCTGTTTTCTGAGAGACACACCTCTTCCCTAAGAGATTGCTGGTGAATGATCTGTCTTCAACTGGGAAGCAACCTTTACAGCACCATCAGCATTACTTTACTTTTACCTGCTACACTGTTGCTAACAGTGATATGAGAGAAGTTTATACAAAGGGTGTCTGAAGTTTTGCTCCCTCATATGCCAACATAACTCTTAGGCATAAGTCCATTTGTAAAGAATATTGGTAGTTCTTTATAAGGTGGTATATTAAGTGCAAGATACTTTATTATCTAGAATTATAAAATATTTTATCATTACCACTTTGATATAAACATACTCTTGGTACACTGTTTCAGAAAGGATCAGAACCATTAAAACACTTTTTTAGCCAAAACAATAATAGATCATGTTGAAGAATACTGGAAGAAGCCAGTTGCCTTGTATTTAGTTTTCAGGGGAGCTTATCAGAGACTTCCTATTTTGAAACATTTCCTATTTTTTTTAATGAGCATTTGTAACTATATCTTTGGTTTATGTTGTTTGTGAAATTATAGTTTAATACTAATAAGCCTTGTTGACCTTCTGTCTTAAAATATGTTACATATTGCCCGGTGGCTTCTACTGATACTATAAACTGCTAAAAGTGCCTGGATATTCTGTTAAACTGCAAATTTTAAGGTTTTAAGGTGCTGTTTGCAGTGATTTTTTTGGTGAATAACCTATAAATCTAGTTTCAACTGCCTGTAGACTTGACTGCCTCAAGCATAAAGGGGGTATAAAAAGAAACTTGCTACCTCAGCAAGTTGAAAATAATTTTCTCATCTCACACAGC